ATACATACAAGAATATATAACTAAATATATCTAAAATATACTGACTATCAGAATATCACTAAAAACTCACTGACAAATGAAACAGTATATGTACCAGAATATATAACTAAATACAACTGAAATATACCATCACCTGTTCTACGGCGTGTTTTATGCTTTCGTGACCATCTGAAACAATGCAAAGACCATCCCGCTCACCAACAACAGCTCTCAATTTTGTGAAAAACCACACGTAGGAGTGGTTATTTTCAGAGTCAACAATGCTAAATGCAAGCGGTAAAATGTGCGAATTTGCATCTTGACAACATGCTGTTAACAAAAGTCCTCCGTACGACGAAGTCAAAAATGTACCATCAACAATAACAATTGGCTGACAATGAGGCCATCCTTTAACAGATGCCCCGAGTGACATGAAGACGTACAAGAAATTCTGGTCCAAAGTGGTGCTCACCTTAAAAATGCTACCCGGGTTTGATTCACGTACCTTCAAAAGATATTGATGAACGTAATTGTACGATTCATCAACTTTGCCACGTACGTCATCAATAGCTTTCCGTTTTGACCTCCACGCTTTTTGGTACGTCAAGTTTATCCCATATTGACTTTGCATGTCGTCAATGATATCAAGGGGATTATATGCAGTCTTCGTGTTCGTGAATTTGAACTTGATAAAATCACTAACAACGGTTGAGGTCGCCTGTCTCTGGTTACTTGTTCGAACATCCAACACACAATTATGTTCCGTCCCGACGCCCCTTATCTAAAACGTGTTTGATGTACCGAGTCGTGATGCTTTAACAAACCATGAACAATCACTCGATACACACCTATACAAACAAGAGAGGATTGTTTATTGCATGTAATTGTAAATATATATATATCTATATATGTAACATGAATGACAGAATAGTTGACGACAAAGTATATATACCAGAATATATACTTATATATCACTGAAAAATCACCAGAAAAATTTATAATTTACCTTACATATACCATTTATATACTCTCTGAAAAATTACAACGCATATATACAATAAATATAAAACCAGAACAAATGTATACTTTAAATATACCCGGTTCAAAATTAAACATACCATACATATACCACGAGCAAACATCAGTTCTACCTCAACAAAAAACAAAACAATAAACCAAAGTATTTTTACCTTATATATACCATATTATATACGCTGTTCAAAATCTCACTGAAACAATTTGAAAAAACGCCACAGTATATATACCAGAATATGTAACTAAATATCACTGGAATATACTAAATAAAATATAACCATTGAACACGCCTGAGAAAAAGGAACGCCACAGTAAAAGTTTTAAAAAATGAGACACACCTTACATAGTACTGCCTGGAACAAGACTTCTCCACCTTGAATTGATACTGATGCTTTATAGCATCCATTGTCAACAATTTCTGCAACTCTTTTTTATCCTTTATCAAACGACCCGCAACAATTCGAGAGACAACATTTTGTCCGATTGTCACCCCCATACCACTATCAGGGTTTGTGTTAAGCATATTCTCGGTATCTGCTGCAACTTGTACCATATCCTCAGCTACATTACTCGCGAAAGACATGAAATTTATCGAGCCATCTGGGATATCAGGGTACCTGTCAAGCCCCGGGTAACTCAATGGTGCAACATTTGTCTCGGTATTCATAGAATTCGTATTTAATTCAATCTGCGACGAATCTTCAGCAATACTATGAGCCTTAACATCCAAGCATATCGGGTACTTTGTGTAGTCAGCTTCTGTAGACCTCAAGAAAAAATAAAAGCTCATGCTTTTGTCGTCTTTTATGGACATTGGTGGGCAATCTTCCTTCAGCTTATATTTCAGTTCAATGACCGATGATTGGGACATCACCCCGAACTCAGCACACAATACACCACATAATTCTTCGAATGTGCAATCTTTTCGTATCAAAACACCTGAAAGACAGAAGTTCACGTACTCGTTCATGATCCATTCACCACCGTGATGTATGAAAATCATCATGCTCGAATCCATCTACAAAGAAAAAAAAAATCCATTAATCGTTCTTGCACAATAAACGTTAAAATCAAAAAATATACGTTAAAAAAAAAAACATACGCGCAGCGACGTTGGATGAAAAATCTGCTCTCGCTATATGTGCAGCGATTTTTGGATGAAAAATCTGCTAGAACCGAACTCTCTGTATACGTGCAGCAACTCAGTATACGTGCAGCGCTTTCCGATGAGTTTTTCGATCGACACACTCTCAGTATATGTGCTGTGATTTTTGGTCGATCCATGCTCGATATATGTGGATCGAGTTTCGGTGAAAAATCGCACCGATCCACTTTCAGTTTATGTCCATCGATTTTTGATCGTGAGCTCGTAAATCACGGAAAATTCGATGGGAACGTTTGACGAGATTGTTGTTTGAATAGTTCTGTATTTTTTGGCAGTTACCATCCCGTAATTCACGTCAAACAGATATGGAATGGATGAAGTTACCATGTAACTGAATATTAGGTATTCACGTAAATATATTTGGTCTATCAAGTATCTTCCCAAATATTTGTTTCTTAATGACAAATTTGATATTATTTGAATATCACGTAGGAAGCTTGAAAAATTCCCAAATAAAAACCAACAACTACACCACCCCTCCGCAGCCAATAGCCAAACAAGTCGACCAACGATGACGCCAACGGATACCAATCCAAACGAACAAAGCTAAGGCTCAGAAATCCAAACCAGAAACTGCCTAACAAATCGTCTAACTGGGTCTGACGCCAGAGGACCCGAACCACATCCCAACGGATAACCGAGACCCACACCTGGAGACCCATACCACAAACCACCCAAACCAACCGAACAACCGGGCCCAGACTCGAGAATATAGCCCACGACCCAAGTTAGTCGGCCGAACCCCTCCGTCCAACACCAGACACACAGGAGGGTCACGGCGGTAGATGGCAGAATCCTCCATCTCGGACCTCCATAAGAAGGAAACGAAGCCGCAACCCATACCGAAGAAGCTCCAGAGGTTCGCCCAATGCTGCTAAAAAAAGCCGACATAAACGGACGCCCGCCACGCCATCCTAGCAGCCAGAAGAACGGCGAGACCTATTCCGGGAGTAGGGCTCCACATCGCCGGCTAAAACCCCACCTATGACCGGTGCCTCTCCTTGAAACGAACAACAAGGCACAAGAACGCCCCGTCGGAAACCTCGAACGGCCGACGGACAACCAACCGAACCACCACTCGGAGCACCCTCCCAGGAGCACCACCCCCAAGCAACCCCCAACACCAAATCGGACATAGGCAGCCCATCACCGAGCGATTGACCACCCCTCCGTCGGATCTACCCCTCCAACACCAGGAAGCGAGTAGATCCAGGGGAGAAGGAGGTGACGGACCTCGACCCTCCACAACCACTGTGGTGGCCGGATCCGAAAATGGCCGACTCAACGTTCAGGAGAAGAAACCACACCCCAACCCTCCCAAGACGCCCCAAAAGACATCTCGTTGGGAAAATTAGGTAAGGAGCCTGAACGAGAGCCGCACCAGCACCCCGGAGGAGGGCAACTCCGAACGTGGCAGCCGGAGGAGCCCGGCGGAAGGGAGGAAGAATCGCCGATGAAAGGGTTTTCTTTGTTGATTTGGGGCTTTTTTTTCGACGAGGAGAGAGAAAAAAGAGGCGTTAATGTCAGTCGTTTAATGAGAAATAAAAAGGAATATCGAAATTTCGAGGGGTTAAAACTGGAGTGGTAACACAAAGAAAAACGACTAAGGTGAAGACTGAAGAGTCACAGTCGAAAAGAGGATTCCACACTTTTTCGGTTTTTCCTCTCTAGTTTATAAGTTTTCCCAAACATCCTTTTAAGATATGTTTAATTAATTTAGTTGTAAAACTAGCTGAAAATAAAATATTAGCATATAGTTAGGGTGTGATTGGATATAGATCCAATCCAAATAAATAAATTAATTTTAATTCAATTACTTTTTTTTAATTGAATTTTAACCCAACTTCACTATTTTCAGCATTATCAATATAATTATATAATAGTAATCAATCAATCTTACTCATCACATCAACTTTAATACACTATTCATCAACTCACGTAATTTTAACTAATCATCGCTTCACATTATCTCTATCATACTTTTACATCAAATAAACAATAATTATTTCATCAATTTATTTGAATTTTTAATTGGTTCAAATTGATTATGAAAATATAAGTTCCAAAATTGACCGAAGTCATACTAAATTTTCTCCAAACAAGATAGAATTTTAAAATTGTTAAGTAATAAATTTCAAAAATTAAAAATTCGGTAAGTAACAATCCAAAAACAAGTAAACAAAATTGGCATAAGATTAATTCACATTTATATTTCCATGAATGCATGGTGGCAAATCAAGAAATTTCGATATGGTGAATTCGCCTAATCAAGACATTTGACAAAATCAATAAAACAAAAATACAAAGATCCTCCTCATTTTCTTCTTCTTTCTTCTTCTTCTTCTTCTTCTTCAGCACATGATTAAAAATGGCATTCATAAGGTGTCAAAATATATTGACACTACTATCATTTCTCATATCAATTATTCTTCAAAATCATGTCCACGCCAAAACTCACTATCATACATTTGTGGTACAATTTCTGAAAACATTATAAAATAAATAACTTGCATTAGCTTCAATTGTTTATCTTTTGAAACCTCAATTTTGTTACTAAAATATTGCAGGTACAATCAACTTCATACACAAGGTTATGCGGCACAAAAAGAATACTAACGGTAAATGGAAAATTCCCTGGACCAACCCTAAAGGCAAACGGAGGAGACAAATTGATAATCAATTTCCACAACAAGGCAGAGTACAACATAACCCTTCATTGGTACGCAATTATTTTTTTCATAACAAAAAATGGCATTAAAAGTAATTTTTTTTTTTCTTATTATTTTTAATTTCATCTGGCCTTCGAATTGTTACAAGGCATGGAGTGAGACAACTTAGAAATCCATGGGCCGATGGGGCCGAATATGTGAACCAGTGTCCAATTGGGCCGGGCAAAAGATTCACATACAAGGTCCAATTGACAATAGAAGAAGGTACAATTTGGTGGCATGCTCATAGTGGGTGGGCCAGAGCAACTTTGCATGGGATGATCATTGTTTACCCAAAGCATGGTGCTACCTATCCTTTTCCCAAGCCTTATGTTGAGGTTCCAATTATTCTAGGTAAATTTTGTTGTGCTCCTAATTAATTAATGTGAAATATTTTAGAATGACAAATCTTCAATGAGAGAATATAATAGTGTAGATGTGAAGATCATAGGAGAAATGACATTAATATAGTTCATTAATTTTTATATGTAAGTTTATAATTTGAATACTTAAAATAATTATAGCTTTTGTTGAATCCAATCAACTTGTCATTAGAAAAAAAATTATGTGAAAAAATTTTGAATTTTTTTTATTTTCTTGATTTTAAATTAATTGGGAGATTTACTCTATAAAATTAAGGGGAATGGTGGAAAAAGAATGTGATGGATATACCAAAAATTGCAAACAAGACAGGAGGGGAACCTTTACTCTCAGATGCTTATACCATCAATGGACAACCAGGTGATCTATACCCATGCTCTAAACAAGGTATCCAAATATTTTGTCTTGAAGAAAAAAAAAAAAAAAAACCATTAACAACTAATGTGTATTATCAGTTTTGCTACGGAGCCACGGATGTCTCGACTTATGGAGCCATCAACACTTATTCACCAATAGTGTATTGACACGTGTTCTGCAATAAATACAATTTGGACATGTGTCAATACATTAAGTGGTGGATGACTCCATAAGAAAACCATCCGATGGCTCCATAGAATTTTTGTGTGTATTATATCTATTTATCATTTTGTACAAAAAAAAGAAAGTCTAAATTTATCTCAAATATATTTCTTTCCTTGGAGGTGAAGCAGGGAAAGAGCTACCTACTCCGAATAGTCAACTCCATCATGGACGAAAGCATGTTCTTCGGCATTGACCGTCACAAGCTAACCCTAGTGGGCACGGACGGTTTCTACACGAAACCATTCGAAACCGAGTACATAATGATCACGCCCGGCCAATCCATGGACGTCTTACTAAACACAAACCAACCCCACGACTCATACTACCTAGCCGCCCGTGCTTACTCGAGTGCGTTTGGAGCCAGTTTCGACAACACAACAACCATCGGAATCCTACACTACATGAACGGGAGTGCCCGTAGCAATTTTTCCTCCCGCCCGTTATTGCTACCGCCACTCCCCCCTTACAATGCCACTCGAGCGTCGACCGCTTTTGTTGGGTTTTTTGTGCTTTTGTCCCACATCGGTTGTGGGATGAAAGAGGGGGAGAGTTTTCTCATATATAAGAAGGTGCTACTTCTTATGTAAAAATCATCCCACAGAGTTATTGTGTTAACAATTAATCTCTAGTTAAAAATCCCTTAGGGTGAGAGAGGGTTAACGGTTAGAAAATTTTGTGGGATCATTGTGGGGTAATTTATGGTATAAGTGAGTGTAGAAAAATTGTGTAATTGTAATTTTTTTACATAGTGGATTTTCTACGGCCTTGTTGCCCTGGTGGTTTTTTCCCTCTTTGTTAACAGAGGGTTTTTCCACATTAAACTTTGTGTTCTCCAGTTTTATTATTTTCAGAGGATCTTGGGCGGTGTTCCGGTATGGTTGGAATTCCCAACAAGTGGTATCAGAGCGAGGTTAGCCTAGTTGGTATTTTGAGTATGCTCTGTGGTTGCAGTTTTGTCTGATCTTCCACATCAGAAAAGATACCAAAGAGGTTTCTTCGTGCGGTGGAGCCAGTGACGGGTGGAGCTTGTGCGCAGAGGAGTTTTTTGGGCAGTTGAGGGAATAGTTACTGTGTAAGTAAGTTCTGTCTAGGAGACTGGTTTTTAAGTGGGACCGTTGTGACCCCACCAGTTTTTCCTGGGAGCTTACTTAGAAGGGTAATTCTTTAGGGGGCAGGTCGCTACCCTCTCTGGGAATTTATCTGATCAGTACTATTCAAGGTTGCTGCTCGGTTTTCTGCAAAGTTAGTATTCACTAATTTACGAAGATGTCTGGAAATAAGATATCAAATCTGGCGAGATTTGATGTGGAGAAATTCGACGGAAAAATCAACTTTGGCTTGTGGCAAGTGCAAGTGAAGGATGTGTTGATTCAGTCGGGGTTACACAAAGCTTTGAAGGGCTCGGAAATTCCCAAAGGCAGTGCTACCAGCAGCACTGAAGAAAAAGCTGGTGTGAGCAAATCAGGAATGAGCGATGAAGATTGGGAGGAACTGGATTTGAGAGCGGCAAGCGCGATACGACTGTGTCTGGCCAAGAATGTTCTTGCTAATGTGCATGGAATTTCGACGGCAAAAGCATTATGGGACAAGCTTGAGGAGTTGTATCAGGCTAAAGGCGTCTCAAATCGGGTGTATCTGAAGGAGCAGTTTCACACACTGCGAATGACTGAAGGTCAAAGCATCTCAGACCATTTAAGCGTTCTCAATGGGATCGTCTCGGAGCTGGAATCCATTGGAGTGAAGATTGATGATGAGGATCAGGCGTTGAGACTCATCTGGTCTCTTCCAACTTCTTTTGAACACATGAAGCCGATCTTGATTCATGGAAAGGAGAAAATTGTATTTTCTGAAGTCACTGGTAAACTTCTTGCAGAAGAGAGAAGGCTAGATGGTGGACGAAACAATTCACCGGAAGGTCAAGTCATGTTCGTCGGTGACGGAAAGAAGAGGAACTCCAAGAAGAAGCAAGTTGTGATTTGCTGGACGTGTGGACAATCTGGGCATGTGAAAAGAAATTGTCCGAAAAGAGGAGCAGGTTCGGAAAAAAGCTCCAAGTCGGTAAGTGGAGATACCGAAGAAGCTAATTTTGTCTCTCTCTCCATGGATGAGTTTTGCTAAGAGAGAAAGGGGAGTCCTTATGGCATGTTGCTAAGTGTCATGAAAGAGGACGTGTTACAATTAGCTGGTCCACAATTTACACACGGGCATTGGTTTGGCGTTGATGCAAGGTGTGTGGTGGAAAAAGCGTGTCGAGGGCTGATGAACTTCCAGGAAAGCCAAATGTGGAAGTTGCACCATAGATTTCAGCAAGGTTATTTCGACATGGGCAGAAGAAATGCTTGGATGTGAGTCCGAGTGGATATGCTTTTATGGTGGAGCATGATAGCGAAAGCTATGAAAAATTTCATCAAAGTGAATAGTGGTTGTCAGATGGGCCAAAATCACAAGGTGGAGTTTGTTGGGTTTTTTGTGCTTTTGTCCCACATCGGTTGTGGGATGAAAGAGGGGGAGAGTTTTCTCATATATAAGAAGGTGCTACTTCTTATGTAAAAATCATCCCACAGAGTTATTGTGTTAACAATTAATCTCTAGTTAAAAATCCCTTAGGGTGAGAGAGGGTTAACGGTTAGAAAATTTTGTGGGATCATTGTGGGGTAATTTATGGTATAAGTGAGTGTAGAAAAATTGTGTAATTGTAATTTTTTTACATAGTGGATTTTCTACGGCCTTGTTGCCCTGGTGGTTTTTTCCCTCTTTGTTAACAGAGGGTTTTTCCACATTAAACTTTGTGTTCTCCAGTTTTATTATTTTCAGAGGATCTTGGGCGGTGTTCCGGTATGGTTGGAATTCCCAACAGCTTTCACTAGAAAGTTGAGGAGCTTAGCTACTAAAGATCACCCAATCGACGTCCCACTCACGGTCGACACTAATTTGCGGTTTACCGTCTCCGTTAATCTAATTAACTGCACGGTGAAAAATCCGTGCAATGGCCCTCTTGGAATGAGATTTGCAGCTAGTCTAAACAACATCAGCTTCGTTACCCCAAAAGTCGACGTGCTACGAGCGTACTATTATGGGATCAAGGGTATTTTTGGAAGAGATTTTCCGAAGGTGCCGCGGAAGGAGTTTGACTATACGGGAAAGAATTTGACGAGTGAGGTGCTGACGCCGGATTTCGGGACGAGGGCTTTGGTTTTGGAGTACAATGCAAGTGTGGAGCTGGTTTTGCAGGGGACTAATATGCTGGCCAGTGATAATCACCCCATGCATTTGCATGGATTCGGCTTTTATGTTGTCGGGTGGGGATTTGGGAATTTTGACCCGGAAAAGGATCGTTTGGGGTATAATCTTGTGGATCCTCCTCAGGGGACTACCGTGGGGATCCCAAATAACGGGTGGGTTGCTATTAGGTTCAGGGCTGATAATCCAGGTAAATGACATTATTTATTTATTTATTTAAACCATGCATAAATGTATTAAATTCTTTGTGTAAGGGAAATAAAATAGCGGGAGAATTAGTGATT